TCTCTGGGATGCTGCCAACACCATGTGGCATACTCCCGCATGCCCACAGAGGCACACACATGCAGCCTATAAGCTATCGAGAGCCTTCTGTAAGACACACAAGGGCCGTGTGGGGTGTCAGGCAATCTGTGCTGCTGTGCTCTAATCTTTTTAGATTTTGGAGGACTTCTGATCTGTATCGCAGTCATCTGTCAGGCTCCTAATATAGACAGGAAATGTTTGCCCTAGAGACAAGTACCTACTATTTTCCAGATATTAGGATTACTTTTTTGTTGAAGCCTTTTCTCCTCCATATAGTCTGCAATTTGTGGCCTGAAGGGACAAATCATATGTTCATTCCACTATGTTGAACTTTAAAGGGGCCCTATATGTTCAGTTGTAGGTTCATATTTGTATTTTGTGCCTCTCCTGTGACATGTCTCCATGCTTTAATATTCAAACGTCTTTATTTTTCTCATACTGCCTGTGCTGCAGCACCTCTTTTCCCCCTCTGTCTGAAACCAGAGCCCAGTCTGCTCTGATTGGTTAGCTGGCCGACTCTGTTGTGATTAGTCAACCGCTTAGAGATGTCCCAAGCCTTAGCCATATCATGTATAATGTGTTGGACCGCTAGCCAATAGAAGCTTAAGTGTTTCATATTGTTGTCACTACAGTATGTTACGGAAGTAAACAAAGCAGTCGTATCATTACATTACATTACATGTCACTTGTTAGACGCTTTTATCCAAAGCGAATTACATACTTAATACTGTGGACAATCCCCCCAGGAGCAATTTGGGGTGAAGTGTCTTGCCCAGGGACACAACGACATGCTGACTGCAGTGGGGTTTGAACCTGTGACCCCCTGATCCGAACACCAATGCACAAAAACCTATATACCATACTACAGGAAAGAGAAAACAGTGGTTGATAAATACAAATTCAAGGTACTGGAACTGAATTCAAAGTGCCGGCTCAAATGTTAATTGATCCCAACCCTATAGGTTAGTTTTAGGGTATAAAACAAACAAACCAAGCTAACAGCTGCCTCGAAACTGTCAAAAAGATATACTGCTAGAAAAATGTCGTGGTGCCTTTGGAAGCTGAAGGACCTAATTCAGTCTAAAAGCTTCTTGAGTTTTCTCTCTCTCTGTCGGGGCTTTGGGGTCACAGCATGAGAAGCTTACTGCTCGGCTGCCCTCTGGATGATCAGCCGAGCAACAGACCAATACACATTTGGCTTTCAGTGGAACAAACCATAAAGGATTATTTGTAGACTATGGATAGGTTATGTCAAGACCTGCCTGGATTCAAGACTAGGATAATTGAAGAGGTTAATCCTCTTTTTTAAAATGTATTGCATTCTATTGCTTTGATGATGCTGATCAGATTGACCGACTACATTACTTAATGGTCGTCTCAACGCAACGCTGGAACTCAGTTGGAGAATGACGAGAAAAGCATGATAAGAGATATCTTTCGGCCATTTTAGATAATCTGTTACTGTCACGAAATGATTGCAATCAATAATATCTTTCTAACATCTTAATATAATTTAAATATGTACATGTACTTTAGTAGGAGATGGAATGTCCAGGAGCAAAACATGCTAAATACATGTGAATGTGTGCAAACAGCAGAAATGACCCATCTTAATGCCAGAGACCATTAGCACGATGGGAAGATCGTTGGAGTGGAAGGAGAGGCTAATTATGAAGATGACTGGTGATGCTGGTGGATTGGTAAAGGAACATATTATGTACTGAAACGCAGTTTTATTAAGATGGACTTCTATTTCGAAAGACATTTCACAAAAATACAATTATGGTTAGGAAGATTGCTGTCATGTATGATGTAATTAATAATGCATAAAGGGTCTTTTGTGTAGAACACTGTGACTGCTATGTATGTAGCAACAGGTTTTCTGACAGTGCAGACACATATTTCTCCTCGTGTTCACAGAAAAAAAACTATGAACTTCAGTTGCCCCAAGCAGCACATTGGGTAAATGTCAGTTGTGGATAAAATTACATGTAATGTCAAAGGCATATCTACCATTGTTGAAATAATTCACCTTTCACCTAAGCCCTTTACTTATGAGTTTTTTTAAGTTACCAAACAAACCTGAACTCTGCTTGTACTGAAAGAGTTTGTATACAAACGAAGATGTCCTTACTTTTTTGGTTTAACTTCACTGAGTTCTTGTCTGTTTCGGCATAATACTCAAATGTGACCAAAGAATTCTGAAGTCTCACAGTTTACAGCTAAAGTGATTTGGATAAATGTATGCTATGCATTCATCCATTATGTGTAACTACTTAACCTTTTATAGCGTTTCTGTGTGCTGGAGCCCAGCTATCATTGGTCAAAAAGAAGGGTTCACTCTGGACAGAATCCGGAAAACATGAAGAAAACCAACGCTAACACGAGGAGAACTTGGAAAGTCCACACAGAAAGTTGGGTTTATTGTCAGTCGACATTGCTAACAACTGCACCACTTTGCCGCCCAACACAGTCATCTCGTAAAGATTACTAGTTATGCTTTTGAGTTTTCATCTCCGTATTTAGTTTGATAGCCAGTTGGTGATATCGTTTGCTAAACAGCGGCCACTATGACTGACATTTTAGGATAATAGGACAGCATTTGCCATCTGTTAACCCAGAACATGTCGAGGTAGTTTCTTTAAAGACATACACATGATGTGCTTGAGTGCAACAGTAACTAACCCAAAAAGTCCACAAACTGAATTATTAATCTCTACGAAACAGCTGTCTGTTTAAACGTCTGCTAACTTTAGCTTTCATTAGCCACTATAAGCTACTAGTCAAACCATGACCAAGCAAGGCTGAAGAAGCAAAACCTCGGTGTTAGGGAATAATTTGCTTAGGTATTCAACCTTCGACCCAGTTCATAATTTTCTCCTCTCACTGTCTCCTTTCCCAAGGCATAGGTCTACTACCTTGGGTATTGCTGCTATCTCTCTTAAGGAGGAGCAGCTTGGGCGCATTGTTGTTGCCAGTCTATGACAGAGCACAAGCCGCCATGAGGTAGTTTACTGTTCAGGGATGAAGGTTCCCTGACCCTGGCGCTTTTCTATGGACGAGAGCTAGTTAGATTCAGGGTCCATAATTGTTTAGTCTCACTGATAAAGAATGTTGATTATTACACTCCGAACTAGTTCAAACCTCGAGCTAAAGAAAGAGTTCTTCAGAATTGGTTTGGCAACCGCCGTGTCAACTCGTGACACAAAACCTGTCTTGTCAATTCTCTGGCCGAAACTCCGAATAAATCGTCAGTGTTTGCCATCAAAGCTCCAGCTCTCCTCGTGTCTCTCTGAGTCCTGTTTCCAATTGCTTCAGATGTTTCCCCCACCCTCGGGACATAAAGAAATAAGTATTTTTGCTCATGGATTCAACAATCCATTAGTCAGAGGGAGCTCTGTGTATTTTGTAGGTGACTGGTAGAGTCAAAAGTGGAGGGCAGTGCTTCCTCTGTATTCACCACAACAGAGTGCTGACACAAACTTTGGCCAGCTCCCCTCGGCTATGATTCAACGCAGTTCATCATTCATTCAAATTGTTTAGTCTGAACACGAACAGACAGGAGGATCGATTCCTCCCGCTGGGTCTGAGTTTGTCATCTTGGTCCATTTCTTCAGATTTGATACTGAGGACATGATGAATGGCTAACTCTGGATTGGCTCATATCTGGTCCAACAGTGCATGTCTGGTGTTAATAAGTAATCTGTACACTAACCTGTGGTTAAGATAATTACATACATGTCAGATTAAATGATGTCCTGATGAGGAAGGCCTCCAAAGTATGTGTACATTGTGTATATGATCTTTGAAGGCCAACGTTTATCTAATAAGTTTATACTTTTATAGTCCACTAATCTGAACTGACTTTCATGAAAATGTGTGAAATTGTGTAGGATGGACCAAGGAAGAACCCATTACATTTTGAGAACCTAAAAGATACACATTAATGTCAAATAAAGTAGGGATTCGCTGATCCTACCTTTTTAATATCTGGGCTTTAATCGGCTAAGCTGTATGACTTATTGAGTGGAAGAGACATGGATAACTTATTGTTATGTGTGTGGCAATAGATATCCAATTTCAGTTCTGGTGCATCATGACTTAAAGATTCATGGAGATGTACACATATGTTTGTGTATGGAGAGCAAACCCTTCTAGCACCCTGTGACACCTTTCTAAACATCACCTTCCTTAAGTCCACTGTAGCATCATTTGTGGGTTTGTTCATCACATCTTAATCAAATGTATGTGTGGATGCTCACAGGGATGGTTGATAACTGCTCTCAAATATGCTACATATCTACAGTTAATGCTGCATTAAGCCTTTTCCAAATGCTTTATAGGCTTGGCTTCTCCAGATATTATGTCCGCGTTTGAAATTGAATTGGCACCCTTCCTCCATCCTTTCCCTCCCTTGTTTGTACCATGCCAACAATTCAACAAATTGCACCAAGAAAACAGGCAGTGATGTATGCTGCAGTGCCACACACCTTTCTGCACTATCATAGGGGACCCAAGCAAAGGCTTGTTTAGTATACACCACTGGAGCAACATGGAGGGAGCCGGTCTCCAGGCAGTAAGTGCCTGGTTTAAGGTTTTGTGGCTTCCTTCTGATGCTCATCTCACCAGCACAATGGGGGAAGAAACCCCCGCTGTAAGTGGTAATAGGTGGTTTGTTCAATTAAAGCATAATGTTGGTGTGTGTACAATATGGATGTACATGTAAGCACATACTGTGATGCTGATGAACCCCCCAAAGCACACTAACACACACTGGAGGAATGGATGGGGGGTGGCAACCATTGTGGTGTTGGTGCGTGGCCTAGTTTTACATGAGGAAGATTGATGGAGGGTCGAAAGGACACATAGATGTGGACATGTATAGATGTATAGATGATAGATAGATAGATAGATAGATAGATAGATATGTATATATAGATATGATTGTATAGATATAGATATATAGATAGATGACTCACATTCCAGGTGCTTCTTCTTTGGAGCTGTCTGTTCATGTGTGGTGGCTTTACACACGGCCCGGGCCACCTCGGATCCGGTCAGGCCGGCCTGCGCCGCGGCGATGCGGTCCGTCAGAGTCTGCCCCGACATCTTCTCTGTCCGTGGAGTCCGAACCTAGACTATAGAGCGGCCACTACGGTCCTACCCCCCACCTCCCCCCCCACACACACACACCGAAATGAACGACCCCGGTGTCAGTAATCCCGGTTGCCCTCGAAAGCACCACAGGCACACAGCTCTAGAAGAGAAATACCAGGACACTTTCAATAGAATTGGAAATTATCTCAGTTGCATAACAATAGTGGCTGGTTGTGTTGGATCTGCACGCGTTTCTTGACTTTTCCACCCTGGAGATCGATATCCGTTCAAAATAAAGGCAACTGCTAAAACCCTAAATCCTGGTTTTATTTCTAGGCTTTTCCTTTCAGTTTCTTACTTTTCCGCGTTATTTGTCGGCCTGACACCGGATGATGCGAGTCGCTGCCTCCCCTCCTCCCTGCTTCCTTCCTCCAGCCTCCTGGATAATCCCCTCCACCAGCAACCCGACAGTCCTTGTGTTTCAGCGGGGTGTGTGGGAGAACATCAGGTCCTGGATGGCATCATCATCATCCTCCCCAGCATCCAGTGCAGCTGTTTCCCCGTCTCCTCCTCCCGTGCTTCCTCTCTACTGCGGCCCGCCGTCAGCCTGCAAGCCCCGGCGATGTGCGCTTTAAACCCGGGTAGTTGGATGGCGGTGTTCCGAGTGGATGTGCATCCTCCAGTTTATTTAATTATTAATTAATCTTTTTATTTCTCATCACCACGCCCTCTTCTCGGAGTCAGGTGACGCTGTACTACCAACCCCGCTGCTGCCTCTGTCATCGCGAGAGCTGGGAAGAGACGATAGCTGGATGGAGGTTGTGGATGGGAGAGGACAGGAAGGGTTAATACAGCTACTCTACAGCCAAGCTTGGTTTCTCATCGTGCTGCTGCCACACGATGAAGGTCATATGAAGCGTGCGGCCTCAGTTAGCATTATTTGTTAGTAAACTATGTCAAACTGCAGCCAGTCAGAATGAGGAGCTGCCTTCGTCACTGTCCATGGTGCTGATATGCAGGACAACTCTTTGCTTGAATAGAAGTGGAAGTCCTTATACCATTTTTGGTAATGGTGTCAAATACTTCCATTTCCATTCATTATGGCATTCTGTCGGTGTTTATAATGTTGATTCAATCTATTATCCCTCACTCGAAGGCACATTATTCTTTGTCATGGCATCATAACAATTAAGTTTGTTAAAGCAAAAGCATAGACGTTATAATAAAAAATGTTTTACCCTGATATCAAACAATATTATACAAATAATTCCCCCCTGAGTGATAAATGAAATGCAGTATACTCCTAAATGAGGTTCTAAATGGGGTTGTAAATAAAAACAAGAAGTTCTGCTACACAGATTGATATTAATATTTGGCTTTTCTATAATCTTTGCTTTTTTGTGAAAACACTGGTCACTTTTTGCATCTAAAATTGTACAATGACATGATCTGCCATCTACTACTACTACTCTGCTTCTTTGTAAGGTGTATAAGTAAAAAGGTTAAAGCTTTTAACAATGCATTTTATTTAAAAAAATGTACATGTTCTTTTTATGTAAAATAGCTCTGGAAAATACTGTACCTGCAGAAGTATATTACCATCCTGCCTGACATGGGAATAAACAAGCTGCTTGATATTGCACTAACAGTAAAAACCATGTACTTAATAACTTGCCACCACTGCCACTGAAACATTCCTTCTTACTTTGTGCAGAACATCTAATGTTAAGCAGATCAGAATCAAGGACAACACTGTCATTAACACAGCGGGAGCAACAAGTCACAGTAAACACAGGTGTTTTAACGATGGCTGACTTGGCTTACTGGGTCACTTGTATAGAACAGAGCCATCGTTAATGTTATTATTAACACCTTCATTCCATGACAAACCACAATAAATCCTAAAGTGTTTAATACCTGTAATCCCAACGAGGAGTTCCATCTTTCCGAGTTTCATGATGAGGTTCAGGATGCTCTAATAATCAGACTGAATTCTGTTTTGCACCCCACGCCTTGTCACCATGGATGCTCAGGCTTTTAGGCTTTTAGCTGCACTGCTCCCAGACTCTGGAACTCCCTCCCCAACACACCCTAAAGTCTGACACAATCACCACATTAAAGATCTACGTGTTCACTGTTACTCTCCTTTTGTACTGTTTTTAAGAATATCTTTCTGAATTGTAAGGTGTCTTGGGTGCTTTGAAAACGCGCCTCTAAATAAAATGTAATATTATTACACAAATGACAAATATGTGAGGCAAAATATGAGGATATGCAGACAATGGACAGAGTGAAAATCATTTAAAAGTTCATAACAATGTAGTGCATGTAACCCTCCTGTTAGAAATCTTTATTAAGTCACATCGATATGGAATGGCACGGCATCTTCACTTAGTCCAAAAGGACTCACATGACATGTTAAAATTCAGTCATCAAAGCTGCTTCTTATTTACAAATAATTAAAATTAAATACAATAGCATTGGAAAAGTAAAACAATCATTATAAATACAAAAGAAAATGTACAAACTATTTTTCCCTCATTTGTATTCCCTTGTTCTTTGAATGTACAAGTTGAGGTTTTTCACTAGTGTTGATCAGTTGTGTGTTAATGCCCTGTCCTCCCCCTCGCTGTGTTCTCACGTCTTGATCAGACCCTCCAGAAAGTCTTTCTCCACCATCTCCTCGATGTTCTGCCGAGCTCGACTCCAGAACACTTTCTGGCTCTCCAGTTTGGGCTCCTCCTTGTGTCCGGGGAAGGAGGTGTCTGTGGGGTTGCGGGAGTAGGCGGGGCCTGTGCGGCTGCTGGCCTTGCTGTTGAACACCTGGCTGAGCAGGTTGAAGAAGGGCAGTAGCTGCTCCATGCTGCGGATCACGTACAGGGTCAGCGTCAGGTGACCCGGCTCCCAGGAGAGCGTTTTGGTGGAGCAGTCCTCCTCTGGGTTTTTCTGTGGGAGGGGAAAATGTATAACAAGTAGAAACAAATCATGTGACATCCTGCAGGTAGGGGACAATGACGCTTGATTTAACCTGCATGAAAAAGAGGCTTTTAATAAGTATCTTCCGGCACAGAGTCTTAATTACAGGCAGTCATCTGTCTCTTTGTACCTTGGCTCGTTTCCTCAACAGCTTGGCCAGTCGGACCACGTAGGGTTTGAACTCTCTCTGGTGGGTCCCTTGACGTCTCACTTCCAACCCTGAATCATCCGAAGCCTCTGGAATGAAGGCCCAGCGGTACCTGTAATGAGGCAGGACTCGCTCAGAAGTCACATCATTTCCATCCTTTAGCAAGGCAGCAGAGCTTTAAATAATAGCAATATTCAAGATATCTTATTCATATTTCCAAACCCTTGCTATCCAGATACTGATATTTGCCAGTAAAACTCTGTTCGCAAATGTTTCCTGCTGTATTTATCAATTCTATATACTGACGGACACACTTTTAACCCAGAATCTCTTCAACGGATAGCTTGAATATTATGAGCAAGGCTTGTTGGTACTGACATCTGGAACTGAGGTAGGCTCTCAGGAGGCAGGGCCAGAGCCAGGTCCAGCAGCTTGCAGGCAGACAGGTAGAGGTTGAGCCAGCGCTGGCTGTTGTAGGAGGTGGAGAAGCCGTTTCCACCAGAATAGGTGGTCTCCAGCCCGGCCACAGAAGGCCCTGACGTCCTAGAAGTGGACAGGAGAGGGTAAGTTATCAAACGGAACACAGGAAGAAGTACTTTATGTTTATTTCTAGTTTGGATCACGTATGTACCTTGATATGTCTTCATCTGCTGTTAGCTCCTGCTCCATCAGAAGAAACACTTGAACCTGCAGGGAGACAGGTGTAGAATGTGTGACTGAGTGTGTGTAATGGATTGTGAGTGTGAGTCTAGAGGACAGAAATAAGATACAGTAAGTAAGCTCAAGAGGGAAGAGTGAGTCTGCGTTTCTCACCAGTTCAGTGATCATGGTGGGCCACAGTGAGGTGAGGTGTTGAGGGGACATGCGCAGCAGCAGCACTCTGAAGAACAGGAACACCTGAGCATGGAGGATGGGCACCTGAGGCAGACGCAGGCTCTCCACCAGACGCTCTGAACACACACCAAAGTCTCTGCTCATTACACATGTGGTTAAATAATACATTCATACATCCCAATGCAGTCATCATAATGTCCATTTCAGAGAAACAAGCGTTTGTTATCATTCATGAAACATTCAAAAAGCTGTAGGAGGCTTGCACGTTTTGCATCAATGCAAATTGTTTTCTAAGAGTCCTCGTTTCTCTGAGATAGAATCATCCGTTGACTCACAAAGGACACAGTTATGGGATATACACCTCAAGTTGAAACATAGCAAAAGTCACCTGTAACAACGTTTATTGAAAGGAACGTTTGAAGTAGTGAGCGTAATAGGTACCATTTCTTAGTCAGTGTTAAACCTGAGGCTTTACGTTGTCTTCAAAACAGTAATTTTACTAAGTAAAGGGGTTGTTTGTTGAAATGACTCTTTTATCAAAGAAGTCTGGTGGTTTTAAAGAAATAATGGGTAATTGTTTCCTGTGAGAAAGCGCTTTCTAACTGCAAGGGAAAGCATTGAAACTATTCTAAATATTGTAACACTTTTCGAGGTATCTAAAATAAGTTTTGCTGCTGCTCATGTCTACAGAACATAATGTACTGTAGGTTTTCCACTGTGGATAGTTACCTCATACAACAGAACTACTGATTACCGCTGTTACATACAGTATCTGTTTATGTGTGTTGGTGTTACCTTGTATGTCTGGCAGGTATTTCTGGTACTGGTCCACTTCACTGCTGTAGATGGTGAAGGCCAGGCGTTTGAGCAGCATGGCTCTCTGCTCCAGCTCAGCATCTCTGTTAGTGAACAGACTCAGAGAGCTGCTCTGGGCCACAGCCACGCGGGCTGAAGGGAAACACACACACTCGTTATTCATCCTACTAGAACTTGGCATTTTATTTAATCTTAAACAAGATCCTAAGGATAGGAGGTGCTCAGATTGTAAATCCCCATTATGCAAATGTATGATTTGTGATATTGCGATATCATATATCTAAATATAACTGACTTGACTTGTTTTACTTTGACACATTGGCATGTTCTTGCAGCTGAATGGGCTACAGTAATAGCAGTGGAAATGTAACTGCGTGTTTGATGGAGACAATTAATTCTGCATGAAATAAAACATGAAAAGGGCAAAACACAAAGTGCCCTGCAAACGTCAGGAAGAAAAAGATGAGCTGCTGAATAGTCTGTAAACACTCACAGTGGAAATAAATCTAACTCTACTTAAGAATGGTCACGCTTACTCATGAGGTCTCTGAATGTGGTCTTGTCATGAGTCATCAGGTGGTCAATGATGGCTCTCCAGCTGAAAAAAATAGGGAAAATTATGTTGATGTGAGATTAATATTCCAGAAAACATGAAGCTTATAAACAAACATAACCCCCTTACATCTGGCAATAAAGTGCACCATTCAAAAGTTATGTTGATGGAATATTCAGTGGAAAATATTCGGTGGAAATTGGTGAGATTATATTTTCATGTACGTTATCAATGCGGTCAAATTAAATGAATCTATTATATATAGATATAAGCAAAAGGGTATTTAAAAAAAGAAGGGCATGCCTTTACCCTTTATAAAACACTGCTACATCCATCCAACCTACACATAAGAAATTATACATTTTTAACAATATTTGGTCAATATTCAAGTGTTTGTTCGAATACACTTTTTGGTTGTATTTGTCGGTGAAATATTCTTTTTTATTAAGTAATCCATGTGGTGAAATTAAATTAAACCATTAGTCAAGTAAAATATAATAAAAAATATACAAAATGACTTTTTCTGTTATAAAGCACTCTGATACGTCCCTCTATAGAAGACAGATAGACATGTGGTTGGATTCGTATTCCTTATGAATGCAATTAGTTAGTATCTTTGTGCTTTTAAAAAATATTATATTTTATCAATTTATTTTAGAAGTTATTATTTATTTGTCCTAATCTTTTTATTATGTATTTTTTCTTATGTTATTTAGCAAAACTGTATACAGTGGTTAATAGGATTTCCCTGAGAATAAAAATAACATTGAAAAATAACACACACAAAAACACTGACACTGATTTTTTTTTAGATGACCAAGAAAAGATGCAAATACTGTGCATAAGGTTTGCCTAACACCTAGATGGGAGTTTCAATTCAACGATAACAGAGACAATCTCTGACTTTTTATTTTTGGGTGTAAGACTCCTTTAAGATGATATCTCTAAAACGTCTCTTGCCGTCATTGTCACCATTTAAGCTACATGTTAACACCATCTGTGACTGTCACTTTCTCCTCTCCTACTCACTGGCTGACGCAGGAGGAGTCCATCTGGAAGAAGGTGTGGTCCATGAAGAGGTCGAAGGCCTCCTTCTTCCAGGCGCGCCGGGTGTACTGGTACCCGCTCAGGCTGCTCAGCAGTTGGATGCAGGCCCGGTAGCTGGGGGCGTTGTGAGCACTGCCAGCAGGAACAGGAAATGGTAAGCTTTCATATGACGTTGACCTTTCAAGTGTTGCACCTTCATGCTTGATACTTTAAATGTGAATAGAAGGGCTGCAGAATTATTCAAAAATATTTGGTAAGGGGAAAATATCAGAATAAAGTATTCTAGAGCTGCAGAGAAGCCCCTGCCTACAAACGGTAATCTACTGAATTAAACAGGACATGCTATGCTCATTTTCAGGTTCATATTTGCCTTTGTTGCCTCTACTGGGACATGTCTCCATGCTTTAATGTTCAAAAAGCTCTTTATTTGTCTCATACTGCCTGTGCTGCAGCACCTCTTTTCACCCTCTGTCTGAAACCAGGAACTGTGTGGGAGAGAAACTCCCTCTGGCATTACATTTCGGAAGTTAGCCTTTGCAGTCCATTTACATGCACAAAAACACACTATCGGAAAACAAAAACACCCAAAAAGCATAATTGCGTCTGTAAAAATGAAAATTCCTTGTATTATACATATCCTTTTAAAAACAAAAAGTCACCCAAAGATAATGTGAATAATATTTCAGAAATGTATTTTAAGATGTGAACTTTTTGTCAGAAACTCAGAAGAATTCCCAGTAGCAACAATGTCCTCCCTACCTGTGGTTGCGGAGGTAGGGCACGACGTAGTGCATGATATTAACCAGCAGCGGGATCACCCTCTCCTTCTCGTCGCTGTAGAACACCATGTCCAACAGATGAGCCAGCACCTGGAAATCCCCATTTATTCAGGTCAGTCTTACATAGCTGCCAGTAGGCATGGCAACATTAAGTGGGTTTGCTACAGAAAGTGGGCACTCATCTCGAAATATAGATTTTCTTTGATTCCTTGTCTGGAAAAGTATGTATATTACTTCACCAACAAAGTGCAATGCAGCGTTTGAGTGATATATTGCTTGGAATAAACCCATTCGTCTACAGTATAAGCTGCTAACAGCAGTGAAGCACAGGCATCATTAGCTCTACACTGAGCTGAAGACGCCAAGACGCTGATTCACAGCACCACACTCAGTCCAGTGGATCGATTCATTGTTCCACTAATAGGAATTGAAGTGGGGGTGGGGAGGTGTTTGTAATTCAGCTCTTAGGATCTCTGTCGGAAGGTGAGTGTGATGCAAAGCTGTGGTTTAGAGCAACAAGCCTAAACATGGCCGTTAAATGTGAGTGGGAGCAGCTCGAGACATAATCAAGATGAACAATATATAACTGGGGGGGGGGCTGATGGCATGAGTACTGCAGGTTTTGCTGAATCACATGAGTGTTTTACCTCGGCCAGCAGCGTCAGGGCGTGAACGCTGTACACTGATGGAGTGAAGCTGGAGGCCTCCATCACTGTGAGCATTAAATCTACAAAACACACATACCAAACGTTAGCAGCAGCCACACACATTACTACTGCCAGGCTGAAGCACGCAGCCAAATATACATTCACAAGCTTTTTGTCGCGCAAAAGTGATCCCTTTTGAACCTCTCACATGTAGTGTAAGAGTATTCTCTATACTGGATTTAGCTGGATAACATTACTCCCTCACAATAAAACATCTCTGGTTTAAACACAGAAATGTTTTCACCCTTGCCAAAATACAGATTGCCGCAAACACCATTACAAAAAAGCTCAGTTTAATGGCTGCCTGCAGGACTTACTGTACATTTAAAATGAACTGATGTGGATCAAGTCTTGGATGAACAAACCGTAGGTCAGGACAGAGACTCACTGGCAACCGAAAAGTGGATTCTCTTGTGGATCCGGACAGCAAAATGTATTTCTTTACACATAGTTAAGTGTGGAATGCATTTAAACTAGATTCTCATGGGCTTCTACACATGACCAAGGCTAAAGGAGGTACATTTCAGCCTACATTTTATGATAGGGGTACAGTAAAACTCATGAAACTGTCGTGCCTTTAATACAATGAGGATAGATACTAGAAGACTGTAGATAAGTACCTCATATAACTTCACTTCAAACTATCCCGTAAACCTCTTCTGGCATTGACATCAGAAGTAGTGTTACACATTTCGTTTAGGATGTTGAGTGTGAATACCTATTATATATTATTTCCAATGATAAACATATGGTGTTCCTCAACAGCCCTTGCTCCAGTGCAGTCAGTGGCAGCAGCTCACCTTCTACATCAGTTTCAAGGTTGGTTCCATCCACGACGATCTGAGGAGAGGCCTTCACCTCCAGGTTCCTCCTCAGCCAGGTGGTCTGCTCCAGAGAGGAGCCTGCAATGGTCCCGATGGCCTCCACCACCTTATGGGTCACATCCTGGATACAAGTTATATTTAGTTACATGTGTACCATTTTACTGTTTGATTCTGAATGACTATACAGCATGAGATAAATGTCAAACCTTTAACTAAGGGGATCAAAACAAACACCAAAAGCTCAAGGAGCATTAAGGAAAGGAAATACATATTGTCCTATTAAAAAATATAATATAAAACAATGAAGGGTTAAAAAGTAATGGAGGTGGCTGGAGTAGTTACCTGCAGCTCCCGTTGGTCCTTCTTGCTCTCCAGGTTGGGATTCTTCAAAATGAACTCATTTAGAACTCTAGGGAAAACAAAGAGAAAGGGATGTTGAATAAGTTAAGGCGTGACATTACAGCTACAAAAACAAATATATATTTTTCATTTTTAAGATGTTGGATTGTTTTGCATCAATGCCATGTCTTCTTTCAAAATAGGTTTCTAAGTACTTCTGGATAATTCTTAGAATGCATACTTAAACATTACATATACGTTATCTTTTAATAATTATTGTTCCAGAAATGTGTGGAAGTGTGTACCACAATAAGACAATTCATCGTTTGCATATTTTAACCTAACATTTCAGAAAACTATATTCAAAAAATGGTCTCATTAAAAAGGACTTAACTGGAAAGTTTTATAGTGATATTTGTTAGTGACGTCTATTTTCCAAAATGACCAGTATTGTCTTATCTTTAAAAATATGATGTGAAAGTGGAAGGTGTCGCAATTGAACTGTGAACAGCCACTAACATCTACAAAGCTGATACATTGATGATGATGTGAGAAAATAGTGAAACTGACCCGAGAATAAGAAACTGTCCCGGGGCAGGCAGGCCCAGAGGCACCGAGTCCTTCAGCAGCGCCAGCAGGGAGGGCCAGCTGTCAACTAGACTGGACACTGGGATCCTAGAACACACAGGAAACAATCATGAATACCATGTAAACATGATTTAGAGGTTAGAAGATGTCAAAAGGGACATCCATTACAATGAATAGTAAAATATAAATAAGAACTAAAAGTACTATTATACTGCTATTGACTCACCTCTGGACATAGGCATAGAAGAACTGCAGCATGCACACCTCCAAGGAGAGGTGCTTCTGTAGGGAACCGTAAGGAACAAATGGTATTGTAATGACTCACTATCGACATTATGGAAAAGTTGAAACTAAAAGAGATAAAATATAATTAGTTTTTTATTTAAATGGAAGAAATGTATTTATTGCAGAAAAGCGTGACAATAATATATATATATTTAATCAAGGACTACATTAAATTAAATAAATGTTAATGTTATGCAGTCATAACAGCTAAAAGTTCTGCACTGTCTGAAATGGCTTTATGCAGATGGCAAATGAGATAGAAATGAAACCATTCAAATGAATGGCAACAGCACCACCTACCTTGTCCTTTGCGATGGAAGGCGGCTGCTTCAGGACCTCTTTGACCGTCTGCATCACGGTCTCAGTGCGCATGGCGCTCACTGAGCGGACCAGCTCCACCAGCAGCAGCTGCTCCTCACTGGCTACAGGGATCACCTGGGGACATGGTGTGGATATAATGATTAACACAACGATAAAACCTAAAGGGTGGGTGTACTTTTTATTCCCCACTGTTTCTCAGAACACCCACCTTATTTCTGACGGGAGTTTTGACCTGTCTCCTCTCATTCCAAACGTAGGCAATTGCTGCCATGAAGTGAGCACCGTGGTTCATGGAGATGGGACCCAGCAGCTCCAGGATCTGCTGCCGCAGGTTCTGTAGAACAAACAAATAAGTTAGGTTAGACATAAACAGCTCATAAATTGCTATGCAAACTATTTCAGATACAATCCAGTCTCACCCTAGTCATTTCTTGTAAACAACAGAACACAACGCAGGAATCAAACACAGTAGTATTTCCTCTAAGTATTAGACACTTTATTTTTAAATATGAGTCCACGGTACATTCCACATTTATCCTGTTAACTGACACTAAAGAAATGGTCAAACAATACTTTCTGCCTCAAAGTTGATCGCTATTTTGTACGTGTATTCTGCCAAATATTAAATGCTCAAACTAAGAAAGGTCATAGTTGAAAAAGTAATTTTAAGTAAGCAGCCTATTATTCCTTCATGCAGGGACACAGGGCATGTAATGATTACACATTATGTTTGGTACAGGAGAAAAAATCTCCGTAATATCTCAGTGTAAATGACTTTCCAACCCACCACCGGAAAAAACTAATATCATCTGGACAGGCTAATAACTACCTGCATGAAAACACAGAGCTGTAATTGCTGAAAGGTCCTTCAGTGCCTGTAATGAGATGACATTCTTACTGCTGGGACTAGGAGTCCAATTATTAATATATGTATGGAGTTAGAATCTCGTTTCTGTAGAAAATCTAAGGCCGAGCAGTTTCTCACTTGGCTGTGTACACTGCAGTGCACACTATAGATACGTTTTTTTAATCTGCAGTGCTGCAGGAAACATTTCAGCTTATGTAAAGAAATATGTTAGCTGCATTTGCATTTATTCTACCTGGGCAAGACAACATTTAAATAGCTAAATAGTGAAATATATAAGGATAATTTGTCCTCCAATTCTGGAATGACCCATACAGTATATCTGCCATTTCATCTCTTTGAGGTACATTTAGACAGATTGTCTCTGGCCCTTCCTCACATTTCATTTGTTTTTTGTCATATGGTATGACCTTATTTTGCAGTGAAGATTGCATTAAAAATCGTTATTGAATTTTTAATTCTGAGTAAGGGTTGCCTGTTGTACCTTAGTGGAGCCCAGGTTGATGTTGGACGTGGAGGCGGCAGAGGCGGCAGCTGGCTTGTCGGAGTTGTCAGCCTGGTGGAGGATGCTCCACAGCAGGGTGACAGAAGACATGATGGTGTGGAGGATGGACAGGATGCCTGAGCGAGCCTCAGCCAGGTGCTTCTGGTCCACGCTCACTTGTAGCTGAGAGGCAGAAAATGCAACATGACAGAATGTTAACAACTAATGTTTAGGCCTGTATTAGAGTTGTATGTGCAGAGTGTTGAAAACATTCACGGAGAATTGAAAAAGCATTATTAACAGCATGTAGGAGCGTGGCGCCCTCACCTGGTGGTACTGGGAAGTGGGATCCAGCAGGCAGTAATGGATGATGGCTGTCACCCCCTCCAGCACTGTGAGAATCAGGTCAGGAGGGATGCAGAGAGCCATCCACTGGGGTCTACAACATAAAGGGAAATATACAGGGTCATCAATATATATTTTCCTATGAAGTTCTAAACACACATTGTGAATGCCAACATTTATCAACACTATCAGAAGAATTGATGATGTAAAAGAGCATCTGTATTGCATCCTGTGGCCAAGAGGGACATCTTGTGGCAGAAAGGGGAGAAATACATCAAGTAGAAAACACACCATCTACTATATACACACTGCTCCGCACACATTTACACTTTTGGTTTACTGTATGCTGGTTTATTGAATTAAGAATAAACATTTAATTATTATTTATGAATTGTAATTTCATAAAGGAGTGACTGATTATAAAAGTTTACGATGTTTCTATAAAATCTCAATAAAATACTGAAATTAGAAAAAAACAAATTATTTGTATTTATCTTTATATTTTTAATGTCATTTGATTTATAGACCAATAGTTTTCAACATTTATAAGAAAGATGTAACAAAATATTATTTACAAGAAATAATAAAGCTCCTTGCTAAGATAATGTTTTGAATCGCACCTCTTCTGATTTGAATGAATTGTAACTTTTTCTGTTTCTTTAAAATGTCATTAGTACTTGATGCTTTGGATATATCCAGGGCTATAGTGTCTTTGCTACACTAAAGCCAATAAAGCATATTGAATTGAATTCATATCGCATAAACGTAGAATGGCTTTTGATAATAGCATATCTGATCAGTACAAACCATGAAGTTGCTCATACCTGACGTCAGTGATCCCGGTCTCATAGCGGTACTGCTGCAGGAGATTGTCCAGGTTCCTGCACAGCTGCAGAGTGACGGAGGCCACCACCCTCCTCAGCACCCTCCCCATGTACGGCAGGGTGGCTGTGATGAGTCCGATCCACTGGGGGTGCATCTTACACGCGTGGTGCTGATGCAGCGCCCTGATCACTGCACACAGGAACATTCCCTGCGCTGTGATAGGCTGTCCGTGGAGGTATTGCAGTGACGTCATTGGCTGCTGAGGGTTGAGGTGCTCCACTTCCCCTCCCAGGATCTCAAAGCCAGCACCATTACCTCCCCCAGCTCCCCCGACTCCAGTCCCCCCGCCAGGTACAGGTTCTCCTCCTTCCTCGGCCGGCACCAGCACCCTGTGCTCGAGCACCACGAGGCTCTGCAGCAGTCGGAGCAGCTGGGACTGGACGGCGCTGCAGCTGTCGATCTGGTCCTCCGATAGGTTGATGACGCTGTCCTCTGACAGACCCTCCTCCACCGTGGCCACGTTCACCCCCGCCACCCGCTGCTCGTGCCACTTCTGAGCGCTGAATATGGAGGAGAGCAGGCAGTGGAGAACCACTTTCTGAACTTTGCACTTGGAGAGGACGTCGCTGATAAAACTAGCGAAGCCCTTAGCCGAGCCGCCCGTGACTTTGGAGAGCTCGCTGAAAAGGAGTGTAAGAACCTCGACGCTGGTCAGCTGCATGGCCCGGTTTCCTGCCAAGTCCTCGGGGCCTGCCGTCAGGTGGGCGGAGTAGTAGCTTCTGAGGAAGTAGAGGCAGAGTGAGATGATGATCTCCAGGTACATTGCACTGCGGAACGAGTGGGAGTGTGAGTCCTGGGGGATGGGGCAGTAGAAGTCTTTGCCCATGACGGAGACCCTGTGACGGGCGAGGAGGTTTTGGAGCAGAGACAGCTGCGGAGTGTAGGTGTTGTTGATGCTGGTGGTGGAGATGGCGCTCACGAACCCCGAGGGAGCGGCCCTCAGCATGGCTGCGACTGCTGACAGGGCGTGGAGCGCTCGGGAGGAGTCGTACGGCTGGAGGTAGAGCAGGACATGCTGATAAAGAGGATGGATGTTGAAATGAGGTGGGACTGAGGATGATCTTCGTCCTGTGACACTGACCCCCCCAACGGTCCCTACGGAGCCCCCGCTGGGCGAGCCGGTGTCACTCTCGATCTCCGACACCTCCCCTTCCCCGCAGCTGTACCAGTTTTCCAGATCCAGGCTGTCCCCGAAGAAGATACTCGGCGGCCGCAGTTTCTCAGCTTGACTGGCCAGCTTCCTCTGCCTCTCCTCCTCTTTCCTCTTGGCCTTCTTCATCTTGGGCTTGGCCCCTGGAGATTTGTCCGACAGCCTCTCCAGGATCTTCCCTCTCAGGCTGAGCTGGTTGCTGCTGTGGCTACGTTTGCGGGCTTGAAGCTCGTCGACCTGCAGGCGGTGTTCTGGGGTGGGAGGATTTGAGCTATCTGGCAACGTGACGATGGAAGGTGATGAACTGTGACGTGTGATGCCCTCTCTGTGCTCCTCCTCCACAGATACATCCACTTGTGAAACAGAGAGGAACTCCAGCGTGCCTCCAGCCAGCATCTCAGGCAGAGTCTGGTGGTTGGAGCCTGGGGGGGGGCCTGATTCAAGGCAGGGACCAGTGGAGTTTTCTGAGGAAGTGCTGTCAGTGTCTGTCTGAGGCCAGTTTTCAGGTTGAGATGAGAGTTCAAAAGACCCCTCATCTATTAAACTCAAAACCCTGTCTATTAGTTCTTTAATAACAAGGGACACAGCCTCCTCTATAGACTGTTCAGACATGTCGTCCAAAGGCTGTTGGTTTGTGCTGCTGACAACTTCTGGTTCCTCAAAGCTGCCATTTTCCCCAGCGGATGAATGAGAAGCACTGGACTCAGAGCTCTGGAGCTCCCCCTGCTGGTCAGCAGGCTGATATTCACCAGCTAGATGCAGGTTCTCGCTGCTCAGGCTCAGTAAGGAGAGGCTGTCACTCAGGGGGTTAACAGTCAGGCAGAACGGCTCCATGTCCCCCATCACAAGGCCTCGGAAATCATCTGGGGCCAACCTGTCCCCTTGGATCTGAGCAAAGTCTGAGGAAAGAAAGAGGACAACATTTGCATAAGCTGGACATGTGAAAGCAGGTGGGTTTCAAGATCAGTTAGTGTTGCAGTTAAGGGTTGTTCTGATTCCAAAATGATGACTTTAATAAGATACAAGCCTAAATACCAATACTGAAACGATACTACAGCAAAACCTAAATAGTCATGAAAAATAATGGAATAATAGATGAATAAACATGAATCCTAAAGTTTTTATTTATTAAAATTAATTATTACAAAACTGAGAATATTTAGAAAGTCAGTGCAAGGCAGTTTAAAATCCAAACAGGAATGTTTAAAGTAAGATGAGCTCTTTACACGTTAACAACTCACCAGTTTCCACCTTCACACTGCAGCCTAAAACATTTTTAATCCTTGCACATATACACTGCAAGTTCATTTAAAGGTCACCTATCATGCTATTTTTAGGCAATAACATAGGTCTGAGATATATACAAATATATAAAAAACATGTCTATGAATTGTTTTGCTCAAAATACCAAACAGATCACCTATTGTAGCCATGCCTCATATCCCTCTATTTCACTTCCTGTTTCAAAAGTGCTGATTTTGGGTATAAAGCTTAAAAAAAAAAAAAAAGGATATAAGAAATAAAAAAGGAGGGGGCTGAGCTCATGCGGGACCCGGCAGCTACTGTCTAAACTAAATAGTGCCGTGATGAAACGCCATATCATGGATTGTCAAGGACTATTTCTGAAACAGTATGGAGCTCAAAGGCTTTCTCTCTTGCCGGTTATACCACAAGGTGAGTTCCTTTTTATTTCCTGCTTCTTCACACACATGCTCTCCGGTACAGGGTAGCTCTGAGTGTTAGCGATGCTAATGTAAAACACCGACCATATTACGTCGAAACAGTCGGGCATTGTTTCTGATTGTGCCGTGGGTCCACATTTCCGATATTACGTCATATCGGACGCAAATCTGGATCAGCTCCGTTGTACTTTCGTTTTTAGAGATTTGGGTACGGAGGAAAAGAGAAAGGTTTTTATTTTCTGACGCTGCGTGAGTTCCCTGACACACCGGGGACACATATCTATGTATAAAAGACATCAAAAAGTGCATTTTGCATGATAGGTCCCCTTTAAATTATTTCTGGTTACCATTGATGTGCTATGTATCAGGCTTTTATTGTTAAAGGTAAGAAGAAAAAAAAGGGCTTTAATGTGCACTGCTGGCGTGGAGAAAGTGGGAGCAATAACAAATGTGCTGTCTTGCTTCAGACGACAGATCCTTCGTGTAATAATTGTATTAAGTAAAGGCGTGACTTAAAACACTCGGCTACTGTACTTTATTCGACAAGCTGTGGATGTGTGTGCCACACTACTGCTCGTAAAAACAGAAAATGCAGCTATTCTGGCCCATGCTTACTGTCTGAGAAGCCAGAGTCCCTGGCGAAAAGGGGTTCTGATGGGCCCTGTTCCTGTGCTTCAGGGAAGACCTGGGCCCAGTGGCGCTGGGACTGTACCCTCTGGATGGATACACGGTGGGTCTTTGGGTGGAGCAGGACGAGGAGGAGGGGCTCTAAAACCCGAGCGATGTCATGTCTCTGAAGCACCTGATTCAGCCAAGCCCGACCTACAGCGCTAGTGCACGGATCCCAAAAACTCAGACTGTCGAGCATGATGAAGAGAGATCTGAAGGAAGGAAAATACAGGAAAGGCAGTGAAATTACAATTGTACAAATTGAAAAGTACTTCAAATTATTTAGCACCTTTTTTATGTGGCCAACAAACCTGTCAAATGTGCGATTAAAAGGAGAGGATTTGGTGATGTTCAAGTCTCGTGTCAGATGCCACAGCACGGAGAACCTCACATGGGACTCCAGGCGTATTCTCTGAAAGCAGAAAGTTGCTTCAGCATGGATTTCACAGACATCGGGCATATCGGAATCTTGGCTAAAACAGTCGTCACCATCCACTCTTGTATCTATGGCAGGATATAATGTGTTTAGGAAGGACAGCCTTGTACGATGTGAGGGTCTAAGGACAGAGGGTGTCGTATTCTCATACTGATATTCTGTACAAACTGTGAAGTCCACTGAGACAAATGTAACATTTGTGATATATTGGGCTATATAAATAAACATTGATTGATTGATTGAACTTAATACAACTAATGGATCAACCGACTAGAATAACCAAAACCTCCAAGACTATTATAGATGTATTATTCACAAACAAAGCTGACAGAATAGTTAAAACCTACAACTTCCTGACTGGTCTTTCTGACCATAATCTTATTATTTTTTACCAGGAAACTCACAAAAAAAGGTTCATGGTCACACCTAAAACCCCTGCCTTGGGTTCACGCTTCATCCCCAAAAACCTGCAACAACGTTTTATGGATGCAGTGAAAATGATTGATTGGGGGGACACTCTGTCCTCTGAAAACATTGGTGAAAACTATAGGTTACTTACGTAACCCCAGTTCTCAGAGTAACATGTAGTGAGATGTCTCACTATGGGATGCGCCTCATCGCGGAGCAAACAGAAGCATCAATCTCATTACGCCAATCCTGATTGGCTGGTGATCTTGACGTCAGCGTCAGGGAATCCAGCTTGCGCGACGTCGCATGCGTCATTCAAAATAAGCACCTCTTCTTGCTTCACCATAGGAAGGAGGGCCATCTGGTGAGACATCTCACTACATGTTACTCTGAGAACTGGGGTTACGTAAGTAACCTATAGTTCTCATTCATAACACTCCGTTCGATGTCTCACTATGGGATATTGTAGCTCCCGTATTGCCAGACGAGCTTATCTCGAAATTCACTAAACCAACCAGAACTCAACAGGTAGAGCTCTGACTCAACAAGGTGCCCAGCACTGCTCGGGCCACACTAGGAGCAGAGACGTCTAGCCTGTAAAAGCGGACAAAAGTGAGCGGCGAGGACCAGCTCGCTGCTGCACAAATGTCTTGGATGGAAACACCCTTGAACAAAGCCCAGGATGTAGCCAGACCACGAGTCGAATGAGCACGCAGACCCGAAGGTGCCTGCAAACCCTGACTCGTATAGGCCAAAGCAATTGCCTCCACAATCCAGTGAGAGAGCCGTTGCTTAGTAACAGGCCGCTCTGCCGCGTTGACAAAAACTCCACCTTTTTCCGCCAGGAACCACTAGCACTAAATAGCGACCACCAACTTAAACTCGACGTGACAGCTTTTACTGAGGCTCCAACGCCTAGCACTCCCCCCCCTCGTATCACACCGAACAGTGCACGCTTCAGGAAGAGCGCGTTGTTGTGAGAGAGCGTACGAAACAAGAACTATGGCCGCGTTAACCCCGCGGCTACTACTACTACAGACTAAACCGTGACAAGTCGAAGAGCGGCGTCGAGTCAAACGAAACGTAGGTACGGAGAGCGAGACGATGAGACGACGCGTCCGTGCGTGCGCGAACCACTCTTGCACTCACAGCAACACCCCCACTTGAGCCAAGAACAAACTCGTATGGATGTCAAGCGCTACAGTACGCCGCATCCGTCACTTTAAGCTTCAACACCCGCTGATTAATAAAACGGTTCCCTCCCGTACATTTCCTACTTTCTCCTCCCCCGGTTCGTGCTTGGGACCCCTACGGAACCCTGTCTCCTCGTCACCTCCTCCACGTCAACAACTACAACCTATTTGACTACAGACAAGCCACTCCATCCTAAAGTCTGGTCCTTCACGTCACAGTCACTACAACTCACCTACTAAGCTCCTCCCCTGTCGTCCTACCACACCAACTACACAGTTACGACGCCACTCCAGCTGCCTTCCTACTTCCTACAAAGTCCAACGGCCTCAGTCTCCTCTCCTCCTCCAGCAAACCTAAAGTTCTTCTCGACAAAGACAACGACACGCAAAACTAGGCGCTTTGCGCCTAACCTTTACCGAGTTTCTCCATAACCTCGACCTGCACCCTAACATACAACACTCGTACTGTGCAAGTTCATAAAAACTGTCTTTCCCCTCTAAACTCTACCCGGCTTCTTAGTTACTGGTTGAGAAACAAGGACCCCGATTGGAGNAACAAGCTTTACCGTATAATGTTCTGATAGAGGGGCTGTACTGAATAGTTTCATTTTGTCAGCATGTTTCATTTATTCTGTGTAAAGCGGGCGCGGCGCTAGTATGCTAATTTCTACTCCTTATTGTCCTCATACTGCCTGTGCTGCAGCACCTCTTTTCACCCTCTGTTTGAAACCAGAGCCCAGTCTGCTCTGATTGGTTAGCTGGCCGGCTCTGTTGTGATTGGTCAACCCCTTAGAGATGTCCCACCCCTTAGCCTATCACGGACAATGTGTTGAAGCGCTAGCCAATAGAGTTAAATAGAGATGTCAATATGTTACAGAAGTAAACAAAGGAGTCAAAATAGAGGCGTTTCAGGTGGGGGGGGGGGAATTTGGGCCTTTGCAGACCATTTACATGCTCACAAACCTATATGACACAATGCAGGAAAGAGACAACCTCAAAAAGCAGAAAAACAATAGGCTAAACTGATATTAGCATGTTAGCACTCTTTGCAGGGATCTGGGATCTTATTCTGCACAGGGTTGCTTTTGAGTGTTGTTAAGCTCAGAAGTAAAAATGTATTAAGATCTAAAACAGACATGCAGCCATCTGTATTAATAAAACAATCCAGCAGCACAATAAAGTCTATTTATCTAACCAAAATAACAAAATCTATTTCTCTGTCTTTTAGGGTAATGACGTAGAACATTATAAAAAGCCATTTGGCTCTGCGTGCTGAGAGGAGTGGATCTCCACTACAGAAAGATGCCCCTCCTCTCATGGTGTGCGTTACGTGTCGAATGCATTCAACTGAAATGGACCATGTAATAAACTGTATGCTAAATAAATTGCTTTGCTCACTGTGGTCGTATGTTTAAAACGGTTTATGCATGAGGCTCCTGCTTGATATCAAACTTTGAACCCCCTCCTCAGATGTGTCTCCCCTCCCCTGTGACGACTCCTCTGGTGTGAAAACAAACTGTGAAGAGAGGCTGCAGCAGAATGTGATGCCAGGCGTTTACTGTGAAGCACTGCCACATATGCAGATTGGAGTGAACTATAATACCCCTCTACTTTACTGCCATCATCTAAGTCAATATTTAACTTCCACAATCACGGTTTGAACACAAAGTGAGATAGCGCCTTAACAGATTTCTCCGGGCCCGGCACTTACCTGGCCACCCAGGCGTTTGTGTTGATGTTGAAGGAAGAGATGGTTCCTCCAAAGAGAGGCGCGGTTTCAAAGACCCACACCTTCATGTTGGCACAGGCGTCCCATCTGTGCTCACCATCCACCACACCGTTGTAGCCTAGTCCAGATAATATACATACACCCTCCTGCAACAAAACATTTCCATCTCGTGAGATCGCACCATAAACCATGAGAACCTGATAAACTGGGAATATTCACATGGGCTGATCAGGGTGCGACAAAAAAAGGATCTAATTATGTGTGAGTGTATGCAAAGGTATGTCACGGGTGGTGCTTTACTCTTAATGCTCTCTATAGTTAAAACCAGCGGCTGTCTGTAGCTACAGCTCTATACACGTTATTCTAGGAAACAAATCAGTAGGCCGCTTTTTTCAAATTCATTTCATGCGAATCAAGAGGTTACTTACCGCTATAACCCAACAGCTGACATATTTATACAAGATGACTTTAGCCCAAATCAGAACAAACACACAGCGATACCAGAAGGGCTGAGCCTGTGGAAAACACAACGTTTCATATTTTAGACAAACTACTTTTTTTGTTCTTACAAACTTTAAGCAAAAACAATAGATGAACATTATCAATATCTAACATTGGAAAATAGTTTATAGGTAAAGTAGCACGTCAACCAGGCATGGCCTAGGAGCAGCAAATACACTTTAAAGGTCCCATGTCATGCTTTTCTGGTTCTTACCCGTCCCCTTGTGTGTTATGAAGGTTTTTCTGCATGTAGCAGAGTCACAAACCCTCAAAGTACACCCTGTAGGGAGTAAAACTCTAACACAGAAAAGACCTGTCTATGCCGCCCCAGAACGCCACGTTGGACATTTCTCTCTTTCCATTGTTTACGGTACTTCTTGGGTACAGTGACGTATTTCGGGTATAGTGACGTAACGTAACGTTACTTTTGGACATTGCGAGGCTCGCTGTTTCGAGGAATCAGAATACCTTTATTAGTCCCACAGAGGGGAAATTTGCGGAGGAGCAGGACACTGTGAGCGGGACACTGTGAGCGGGACACTGGTGTGGGGTCGGTGAGACAGCGAGACACCATGGAACTCAGCCTGAGCACACACACAAACTCCCAGCCAGGCTGCGGGTGTGTGTGTGTTTGGGGCTGGGTTTCACTGTGTCTCGCTGTCTTGCTGTCTCGCAGACGGCCTCTGGGTTCACAGGGGGGGGGGACAGAAGCTCCAACAAGCCGTTTAGGACAGAGAGTGAATACACATACTTTACAGAGATGCTGTATGAAAAACCAATGTGAATTTGGAAAATTGAACAGTATANGGGGGGGGGGGGGCAGGAGCTCCAACAAGCCGTTTAGGACGGAGAGTGAATACACATACTATACAGAGATGCTGTATGAGAAACCAATGTGATTTTGGAAAATTGCACAATATAAATCTATTCTAGTAGACCTCAACAATGGAATTATGATCAGTAGAAATAGCCGTGACATGAGACCTTTAAATATACACATCAACAGAAGATCAAAGAGGTATATATATTTATAAAATATCTATAGAATACACAACATAATGCATATTTTAGAAAACCAAGCTTTCCATGTTTTTCCTGTGTTTCTTTTATTTGGCAATGAGGTAAAGAGATTTACATATTCAGCATACAAGGTTATTGAATGATTTATGTTTTTAAATATTGTCGTTCTCACCTCATACTCGTCTGTTAAGAAGTAGCTGTCTGGGTAATAGGGACTAAATATTGTATATACCGCCAGGCAGACAAAACCCAGAGCAAACCTCTTCATAGCCGGTGTAACGCTGGAGGAGAAAGACGGACGAGATGAAGATGGGAGATTAGCGGTGGATATTGCAAACAGCGGGGGTCTAATACTGCACAGTTGGTTTATTGTACAGATGGGACGTTTCATCACTGGTGATTGTCTCCCTCTTGTACCTGTTGGGAGGCTTTCCGGGGCTGTCGGTGAGCTCCCCGGCCACCAGCTTCTGGTAGCTGCGCAGCGTGAACTGGGGCCCCACCAGGAAACCTCCGTAGAAATAGGAGAAGCCGCACACCTCGAGCAGGGAGGGCACAGAGGGGAGGGCGGCCGTCTTCTGCTCTGCACTCAGCTGGGACTGGAGGTTAAGGACACGAGAAGACATATATTAAAGAGGGCAGAAGGAAGGATGAAGAGAGGAGAAGAAGGGAGCCGAGAAAGGCCATAAGTCCTTTTGACAGCATGTTAGAAGACTCAGGGACGGTTTCATCCCACAAGCCATTGAATGTTGATACAGGAAATATCTAGTTACAAAAGGATGACTTTAGAAACAATGTTGACTAACCACAAACTCAATATCGCTGCACTGAATACTTATTAACTGGCGTTTAACTGCAGGCTGTACACTGTGTACTTTACATTGATAATATTAACCAGATGGGAGCAGATACATTTTGACACAGATACAACAGAATGAATAAGCACAGCGTAAACACTCATTAGAATAAAAATCAAATAAAGCAACAGAAGGGGAAATAACAGCTGTCAAGGACACACAAGAGAGGAACCAAGCTCACTGAAGACGAGTGAAAGAACAGGAAAAGGGAAGGGCTGCTCAAAAGATAGTTTTTGAAAGGAAATAAGGGTGAGGGAATGATATGATGATTCCCTCTATAGTAGCTAAGTCTTTGGGTTGTGTCATTGTGACTAATATTGCATCAATGTGATAAAGGAATTTGGAGTAATCCAGTGTATCAGTCACACTTCCTGTATGTGGTTTGAATCAATTGAGTTTCAGTAAAAATTGGCGCATTTCAGCCGTTTTTGGTTGCGTTTCCACTAGGGGTAGTTCCGGCTAGCGGCTACTTTTTCAACAGTTTTCACAGTTTTCTGGCCCTCGATAACAATAATTACATTAAATGCTTAGACATTAAATAAATAAATACATTTCATCTGTGGAAGCCGTGGTACTGTAAAAAGCACGACCAATCATCTGAGCCGGCCTGGCTAAAGTAACTGGATGGCCTACCTGCCTGTCAGCCTTCCATCTGTGCACAAACTTATCTCGTGCCCTCATTGGTCATGTGCGCGTTCGTGTGTGTCCTAGCGCACTCAAGCTGGTTTCTCCATTCTTACCTACCCTACCTTTAAATAATGCAATAATTAGAAATACGCCAACATATATATGGATCTAAGTTTGACAGAATGATATTCTTGCTTTATTTATTTTTCATGTTCCTCAAATGTAAAACTTGTGTTTCCTTGCAGCAGTCAAACGAATTGTCGACTGAATACAATTTTTTTTGAACTTATCCAGGTAAAAGTACTCTCAACTACTAATACAATGTTAATTACATTCAGAAAAAATACCCCAGGAGTGATTTTGAATAAAAAGAAAAAATAAGAACGATTCTAGGATAAGAAGAAACATAAGGTTTTTATATAATTCCACGAAGGAGGCCTATACATCACATATACCACACCATTTCTCCCTCATCATCACACACCCTCTGCTGATATTTCTCTCCCCTTTATTGTGTCCCGTTTCTCCCTCTCTACTCTAGCGTCTCGTCTTTTTCTCCACAGAGCCTTTAGTAGGCAAATAGAGCGCGTCTGACTGCAGCTACGTATAAAGGAGGGAAGGCCGAGGGGTCAGAGCAGCGCCTCACAGGCACAAAGCCCCTTTGTTATGTTGCAGTTATCTGAATACCGCTCTGGGTTGGTGGTAGTCATGCTTTAAGGTTTCTGTCACTATAGAGAGGCGAAGTCCCTCCCTTTCCGGGGGAGCTCCATGGGACCTTATTTCCGGAAAAGTATGTATTGAAGTGAATGGAGAGAGAAAGATTATCTCTGGATCCCGTTTGAATTGTGCCACGAATTACACATATGATGTTTGTCAATTTAAAAGATAATTTTACAAGTCAAAAAAAAAAAAATGTGTCGTAAAACTGTGAAGGAACACTTTTTTTGTGTGAAACCGCTCAATGAACTACATCTCCCGTCTCACACCACACACCAAGACGGCCGTCACGTTGGCACATTTCACTTCTTTCTTTCAGAATGAGGCGGAAGTATTAAAAGAGGTGAAAATCACTCCAAGTCTGGGCACGTTGAGAGCTGTACATACACACAAGGGGAGTTAGTCGGTTCCGTAAGAGCCAGCATGCGGGACCGGGATTCTGGGATTTGTAGTCTTTCTAGTTGAGTATTTTTCATAGTCTTATATTTCAACAGTATTACGACAAACTGTGACTTTTTTGACATGGAAATGATTTTTTAAATTGACAAACATCATATGTGTAATTCGTGGTACAATTCAAACGGGATCGAAAGATAATCTTTCTCTCCCCATTGACTTCAATACATAATTTTTCCGAAATAAGGTCCCATGGGGCGGAAGTAGATGGGCGGGACTTCGCCTCTCTATTGACTCATTTCAGCCTCTCCATTTTGAAGATTTGAAGATTTGTTAATAGGAAATCTTTGAGTTTTGAGCTGAACATTTAGATTTTTTGATCAAGTGTTTGAAATACAATTTGTAGGCTGGGATATTTCTGCAGCTCCACAAAACTTAAAAATGTAGTTTTAACAGGTCTTACCATTTAATAAATATTGTGCTTTCTGTGAATGTAATAATGAACTAGCCCATTTTGCAATTTTGAATAAATCTGTATGTTTTCACATCTTGATCGTCTGCTGGTTTTTGGTGAACACAATCAGATATCCTGCAACAACTCCACACGACAGAATGATACAAATAAATGACAATTACAGCAACTAACAGACAACAAACAAAACTCAAACAAAGGACATTCCACATGAACGAGGAACGAGGAAGCAGGCAAAAGCAAAGAGATCAACAAACTCACTGGTTCCTTCCCGCCGTCATAGTAATCAAATGACAAACCTGTAATCAGAAAATGGATCTGGTGTCAGAAACTATGTTAGGGTGACTAGTGCTTGATGACATTATCATTTTGATGAACACTGTTAAAGCATGCAAAGGCCATGTCAGCAGTTCATCAGTGTGTTAATCACTACCTGGAGAACAGGGGGAGATAACAACAATGGCAACAGGAAGATATGAAATGGGAAACCATCTGGAAGGAGAGCAAAGAGAGTCAACTCACCAACAAGTTTGAGTGTGAGGACACAATGAGGCATGGTCCACTTGATGTCATACTCCTCTGTCGCTGTGTAGTAATACCCTGCCAGCAGGTACACCTGCAGGAGGGAGAGGATGACATGACAAAGCAGATGTTTATCAGAGCTCTACATCAGAATCACAAATTCCTTTATCCGTCCCACAGAGGGGAAATGCACATTGTTACAGCAGTATAGATAGAGACTGGGGAAAAGAGAACACACTATTAAATCAAAAAGGCATGCACATAAAACTAGAAGGCCGTATTTATCAAATAAAACAACAAGTAACATTGTAGAATACTGTGTGGTAGTGGGTAGATTGCAGTGATAAGCTAAATTAAATGATATATTTACATAATAACATACAGATGCTGGTTGGAATGGACTACCTAAGACCGCATTTACACGGGAACGCAAACGCAAACAAACCAAATTCGATATCAAAAATGTATTCCGTTCACACGGATACGGCTCAATAAACGTGTCCTTCACACGAGACCGCTCGACCCGCTGGAGACACTGTAGTACATGGAGAAAAGTAACAGATACAACCCGTTTCGTTCTCGTGTAAACAGCATCTAAGCAGCCAGTACTAATAACATAAGCTAGGAACGTATTGCACATAAGTGTTGTTGCCAAGAAAGAACAGAAAGGGGAAATTCACTAAAAACCAATCACAGGAAGTGTGGTGCCGAATGCAAAGGAAATCTGACATGAGCACATTCTGTGTAAAATGTGGTTTCCATTATCAGGCTCCTATAAAAGGGTTGAGCAATAAATGCAAAAGCATGCAAAAACACCGGAACCAGCAATCCCCAAGGAAGGATGTGACTACATCATGAGATTATTGGTTATAGAGCGGACTGGGATGAGTCCTAGAACCTGGTAAAGAGTCAGCATTGTGCCACTTCTGGTTCTCTCGTCTCAAAGTCAACGGTTTGTTTATGGTTTGAGGGCTGAAATAAAGTCTGTGGTTAAACAAGCTGAAGAGATTTTAACGCTTTGTTTTCCGTCATAAAATAAGTCAGTTAATACTCAACTTGTTAATATCCAAAGCTTCTATGTGTCATAAAAATGTTGGTTGCCAACAAGTGACTAACTTATCTACTAAACATCCTCATGCTGATCACTAGCCAGCCATGTGACCAGGATGTATTTACTTCATAGCTTAACGTTAGCTCTTACTTCTGGCGAATGCATTTACTCTTAAAAAAAAAATCACAAAGTGCTGTTAATATGAGGAAACTATCCTGCTGAACAACACATGTAGGTACTAACAAGGTGTTTGTCACTGTTTTTATTTTCTGCTATACAGTAAACCGATATCCAATAGAAAATACCCTTGCTTTTTGTGGAAGGACTCTTTGCGATGCTAACGTCCCGATCAGCCTACTAAAGTACGTCATCAATGCACCCCTCTATAGGTGGCCCTTAAGGCGCATTTCCACCTAGGGCCTCGCGCGGCTTAGTACGGTATCGTTAGGCCTTGGTAGGCCAGGCTCACTTTATGCTGCGTTTCCATTACAGTTTAGTAGTTGGGGCAGTAACTATAGTAACGCAGTGTAGGCGGAGCCATGATGTCATCTTCAATGAGAAACACAAAACCAACGTCAGCCGTTAGCTGCTAGCCGTCAGAGCTCACAGCTCTTCATATCTGTTCAGAAACTAGACCAAAGTTAAACAAGTCCATGGAGAATACAGTCGCTGGTTTATTTATGTCTGTAGGCCGTTGTTGTGAGTGTGGACGGTCGGAGCATATACTGCGTTAGTTTAGCCAATCTCCATTCAGAAAACACGCATTTTAAAAAGGTTTTTCGCCTGCCGTCTGTCTGCAGACTTGTCAAAGCATTAATTCATGGTTTTTACTAACCGGTATCAGTATGTTGTTACTTCGGCATCATTTAGAAACGTGTATTACAATTAAATCACTGTCAAATATGTTCATTGTGTTGTAGTTGCCAGCGATTCTCTCTAGTTTAGCATACTCAGCCCGGTTGTTGGCCCGGAAAGAACCTGGATTTTGGAGAGCCAGAAAAACTGTGAAAAAGTACCCGCTAGCCGGAACTACCCCTAGTGGGAAACGCAACAAAAGCCGGGCAGGCACGGCACGCTTAAACCGCGCTATAGTGGAAATGCGCCTTTATAGTACAGGTGGAAAACAGTGTGTAGGCATTAACAGGGCAATTAAAGGAAACTGCAGAATGCTGATATCAGACTGTGCAGACAAACAGAAGAAAGAACAAACACCAGAGCCACTGCAGTAACAGTCTGACAGGGGACCAAAGGGAGATAACGCTATAAAAAAAGTAAGCCTGGATGAATTGGATAAAAAGGGGAGAGGAAATAAAAAGACACAGGGGGACGTCTCACCATTTGAAAGGTAAAGCTGCTCAGGACAGTTGTTATCGTCCTCCCCATGAGCCTCATCATCAGGAACTGGACGAGGACGCATACTGCAGAGTGATAGATCTGAGGGCCTGGGGAAAAAGAGGGCAGGGGGGGGGATGGTGAGTGCAGTCAAGTGTGAGCTGTAGGACTGGACATGACAACGGCATGTTTTCCCTCCACACTTCAATACTGGCACAGATGGAAAAAGAACAACACGGCATATCCAGCATACACACTTCCCTTTCCCAAGAGTGTTGGGAGGGAAAGTATTCCATAAGGAGAAATATAAAGCAACACACCTGCTGTTACACCCAAGTGCAGCCACAAAACAGAATGAAGAAAGATGGATGTCAGCAGTTTATGTTTTACTATGGCATGCTAATCTTATCTCTGAAGACACTTCATTCATTTGTTTTTTTATCTTATCTGGAGAAGCACTTCCGACCTTAAATGTCACTTAGGCAATTTAGAAATATAAGGATTGACCAAAACTCAACGATAATCAGTTTTTTATTATATGTGACATATAAGCATCAAATATTACACATTTTAGACGCTGGGTCGAGCTAATGTTTGGCCTTTACACTAAGAAATTAACATTTTTTTATGAATTATAAGAACGGTTGATGAATAATTTGCTGCGGCTTTACTCGTGAATTTTTCAGTGCCAGTTTAAATTAGGAATCTTCTGGGTTCGAACTGTTGGACAAGCTATTTGAAAGCTGACCAAACAATATTTTACATATGAAGACATCTTAAGCAATTAGATTTTAAACGTAAAAAGGCAAGAGTGCTTTCTGTTCAAGTTCAGTCTTTCCTCGGTCACATTATATGTACGTTTTTGGAGCATCACATCGGGCAAACCAGCACTGTATGTTCAATAAAAGAGCTTGATTCTGCCAGTGACGGGCACACATTTGCTATCATACATTTCTAAAAACATTATGACGTACATTGAGGGTGCGTAATTGCCCTAAAGGATGACGTTGCAGCTAATTCAGTAGGTGCATCTTGCTCAATAATTGGCCAATTTTGAAGATTGTTGTTCCTTTTAGTCAGTTGAAAGCAAAAACATAGGGAAATTGGGTCCTGGTTGAACACAAGACGTTTGCTAAGGTTCAAGGACACAGGTTTTTTGTTCCATTGAAATTAATTTAAAACTCTTGATGTGTTTACAAGAAAATAAAAAGTGCAGTTTTAAAGAAAAACCCCAAAAAATCTTAACCACCTCAAAGAGTAGGAGCTTGACAACAAAATCTTTAAAACCGAGGCTTCCTCTTCATCTCACCAAAGTTGAATGCAGCTAGAGCCAGTCCAGATATCGCGTGGAACAAGTTTATAACGGTGGCTGTCTGGTAGAACAAATACTTCCGGTACACCAGAGCACAGGGATACCCTACAGGAGAGAGAGAACGAAGGTTAAACACAGCTTAATATCTGCCATTGTTGACCCCCCCCAGATATCAACGACACTGACCTTGTGGTAAAAAAAAACCTCATGGCACATACTCAGCAGCACATTAGTACCATTTGTGTGTATTTGTATGTATGTATGTATGTATGTATGTATGTATTTGTATATGTATGTATGTATTTGTGTATGTATTTGTGTATGTATTTGTATATGTATGTATGTATGTATGTATGTATGTATGTATGTATGTATGTATGTATGTATGTATGTATGTATGTATGTATTTGTGTATGTATGTATGTAAAAGTCCCAACACCCATTTTCCTCCCTGGGGTTAGCAAATAGTTACAATTTGTGTGAATATTACATTTCCTTTCATTAGCTGATGCTTTTCCATAGAGACGTGCAATAAGTGCGACAGACCTTGAAAATACAAGACATTGCATCAGCTCATATAAAGTTTCATATTTAAATTTGCTTCATTTGAGTAGTTCTTAATGTAACATTGAAGCAACACATTTCCATCTGCCTCAACTGGGTTACTTTTAAAAAGAAGGCAATTATCTTTAATTTTTTTCTAATTGTCAACAAATCCAATGAAGCGACTAAAAGCAACAATGTAGTGTCGGTGCGGTTAGAGGCGAATGTATTCCTCTTTGACATAGATTGTGGTCTAAACACACCGTTGCACATGATCCTTAATGATGATGAAGAGCAGAGGGCACAGGTTTATTTTTAAGTCAACCTCACATGAACCGCAGTGCTGCCATATACAAACACTGGTGCACATTAATACTTGTGTATTTATATCCAGACCAAGTTGTTCCTATTTGAATGTTAGTTTGCAGTGACCTGGAGTCAAAGTAAACTTTCAAATAGAACGATTACAGTAAAAATATTAAGAAAAAAACGATAACAATGTCATCTTTTAAAACAATTAAACCATAGTTTCTACACTTAAAAAAAGTCGTAGGGAAGACAAAGAAATTATTGAAAAGCGTGTCTGTTAAGAACATATAAAACATACACAGTCCAATATGTCAAGTGTGGAGCTGCTGTAGGGAATTAGTTATCTGAACCATGTATGCAAAGTATTTCTAACATCAAACTGCAGCTCTTGCAAAGTAGTTTGTTTACATTTCTTTGTTTAGCAGACAATACTTCTGTTATTTCATGCACCACAGTTGGAACCATGGCAGCAATATTATGCAAGCCACATTGAGCCACACAGGGGAAAAAAGGATCATGCAACAGGCTGACTTAAGTTTCTTTCAGGCATTAACCAACCAAAGTCTGATCTGCAAGGCCATGTTCAGTGTATTGTATTGCCGTTATGAGGCGGACACAAAGAGAAATATACGTGTCCATGTGTCAGAGCAAAGTTCAGAGAGGACAGCATGGAGGTCACCCTGTCCCAATCCAGACCTCTGTTACACCCTGTCATTTAAAAGTACTGCAACACATGCTATAATGAAACTGCAGATACTACATTTATCAAAAGGCTCGCTCCAACCTTTTAACCCCCTCACAACGGTCTCCCCTCTACTCAACCGAGTGGAAAAATGGAGGGTAGGGGGGCACATTTTGGCAGCCTGAGCTCATTCTCCTTGACAAGCAATTCCCTCCCCCAACCAGATTGGGACTATTATTTTCACCAAGACCAGTCTCGATCAATTATGCAAAACCCACAGCACACAAACAATGTTACTTTGTTTTTCTGAATCATTTGAAAATTGTCCAGCTAGGTTGACATAATTGTGTAAAGTCTGTAAGCTAGTTCAACAATTGTCAAGCTTAGTACAATATTTCACACACACAACTATCATGACAGTGGCAAGTTGGTTGTACATTTTTGAATGATTTAACATTTAGTAAGTGTACGATTTATTTAAAGGGTTACTGGAGATATACATTCAGTTTCTCAGGATACAATAGTTAATTAGCTAACAAAGCAGCAGTCCAACACAACTTTGAGCTAATTCAACAACATATTACACAGGAAACTAGCAAACACCACTTTCATGTCAGTTATAAGTTAGCCGTTTATGTTTAGAATCAGTTTAGTTAGTGTGCTATGTTTGTAAAGGCTAACTATATATTTGGTTTCTCCGGATATTTATTTACCTAGCTAACACAGTAGTAGTCCAGCAAAACTGGTTCGGTTGCTAGTTCAACAATAAGGTATTGAAACTAAATATTTTACACGAAACTAGCAAACACCACTATCATATCAGTTACAAGTTAGCCGTTGGTATTACTGTTTGGAATGAGTTAGCGTTAAGTTGGTGTGGTGTTTATTTTAAGGCTAACACGAGATATATTTAGTTTCTCGGGATATTTATGTACCTAGCGTACACAGTAGTAGTCCAACACAACTGGTTTGGTTGCTATTGCAGCAAAAAAAGGAAATTAAACAACATATTACGAAACTAGCAAACACCACTTTCATGCCAGTTATAAGTTAGCCATTGGTGATGATGTTTTGTATCAGTTTAGTTAGTGTGCTATGTATGTAAAGGCTAACTATAGATACATTTCGTTTCTCGGGATATTTATCTACCTAGCTTAAACAGTAGTAGTCCAACGCAACTGTTTGGTTGCTAGTTCAACATTAAAGACATTTAAAAACCATATTTTACACGAAACTAGCAAACACCACTATCATGTCAGTAACAAGTTAGCCGTTGGTGATGATGTTTTGAATGAGTTAACGTTTAGTTAGTGAGCCTTTTTTTGTAAAGGCTAACTAGAGATATGTCTTTTAGCTCAGGTTTTAAGGACACTCAATATTTATCTCAATATTTATCCAGCTAACACAGACCAACTGATTTGTAGCTATGTGTCAGTGAGTACCTGGCTGAGCGTTATGTTAGCAGTGAGTGTAACAGTCACACAGAGCACTTAAACCTGCCCGCTGATGGATGCCATTCCGGCTAGCTACACCACAACAACCCGTAAGTGATTCGTGAGGCGACACTCACCGATTAAAATAGATAACATTAGTCGAACTGCTGGCTCCGGGGAACCTAAGGACTCCGAAAGATTCGCCAGCAAGGGAGCCGCCATCTTTCTTGTGGGCGGAAACGTCTCTTCGCGACGGTTCAGTGAACTCTACTGACTCACGGCAGACATCCACACAAACACACGCTCTTTAAAGGCCCTTCAACCTGCTTCAAAGTTACACTGTGGGATTCTCCTCCTACTTCTCCTCCCCTCCGGTCTATCTATAACACTCTTTTATTGTTTTAACAGCTTTAGATTTGATTTATGGGCTGACAGGTCGGCTATGTGTAGCAGCACAGCGCTAATGTAGCAAAGCTGTTAACTAGTGCATGAAAAGTGTGTGAGATTAATCCCCGATTAGACACACAAGTGACATAATGAGTCTGAGTGTGCCCTCTTGTGTAGACATGCAGGAACAACACCAATAAAAGATCCATGTAAAACTGTTAAATGCATGTTTTAAAACACCATGGGATGGCAAATTCATAATTGGCTCTTAATTACGTAATTTGGGTTTAATTTGCTTATAGTAAAGACCATATGAAAGCACATCAAATTGCTAAAGTCTATTTGCTCTCCCCATTATTGATTTGCAGTAAGGCCAAACTACATGTAAACATTTACAATACACTTCCAAAAGTCTTAAAACTGAGATGGTTTACATCAAAAAAAGAAAGTCAGTTACCATGGGTTTTTTTAAATATTTAACTGGGATATATTCCTTTGAATGAAAGGCTTTGTTTTGGTATTCTATTGTGGCTGATATGTTTAAGCTTGCTAAAGTTGACTTCTTAACAGCCTTTGAAAGAATGATAAAAACAACCTACAGTAAAACACTACTTACAAATATTTTTGAATCAGTGTTACTAAATGAGTATTACGTATATTCTAGGCTTAAATCAGGAAATCTTAATCTGGTTAAATTCATGCATGTATGGTGGTTTTTTCCTTTTGACAACATGTGTGGGCTTCTCATTAAGAGAAACCTGCTAGAGAAATATCTAAAGAGCTTTAAATTCCTGGACGTCAGACAGTACCGGTACAACAAATCTACACCTTCTTGTTATGGTGTGGTGTTGTAACCACTCACTGTAACACAACAAACAACACAACATCACAAAATGTACTGTATGTATATTTCTTCAAAATCCTCAAAAGTCAACAGTTAAAAACAGAAAGGGAATTAGTCGAATACAAAACTCACATGTGCAAATATTTCTTTATTTTGATAAAGTTGTACTACTGGACACACGATGTCTCCCACTGAAACTTGAGTATTTCCATATTCTGCTACTTTGTACTACTCCACTACAATTCAGAGGTACATCGTGTACTTTTACTCCACTACATGTATTTAATACATTTACTTTAAAGATTTTGATTAATGATGTGAAATGTACATTTTGAATACAGGACTACTTGTAACAGAGTATTCCTACACTTTGGTAATTCTACTTTACTCAAGTACAAAATATAAGTACTTCCTTACTCATAGATTGGTTATTTTCTTTTAACAACATGTGGGGGCTTCTCTTTAAGAGAAACCTGCTAGAGAAATATCTAAAAAGCTTTAAATCCTGCTGTTACAAAAGACGTCTGACGGTAGTGGGACAACACATCTACACCTTCTTGTTATGGTGTGATGTTGTAACCACTCACTGTAACACAACAAACAACAGCACATCACAACATTTACTGTATGTATATCCCTTCAAACTCCTACATGTGCAAATACGTCTTGATACATTTGTACTACTGGACACACAACGTCACCCACTTAAACACAGAGGTGGGAAGTAACTAAGTACAATTTTGAGGTACTTGTACTTTACTTGAGTATTTCAATGTTATGCTACTTTGTACTTCTACTCCAGTACAATTCAGAGGTCAACCGTGTACTTGTACTCCATTACATTCGTTTTGTATGTTTAATTACTTTGCAGATTTCTCATTAAAACTAACTGCACCTTTACCAGTTTTGATAACACTTCAATAATTATAAAACATATCCTATATATTATTCTGAAATGGGTCAATCTGCAGAATGTTTATTATTTGTAGTTTTAAGTATATTTTGATGTTAATACTTGTGTACGCTTACTTGAGTAACATTTTGAATGCAGGACGTCTTACTAGTAGCAGAATATTCCTACACTGATACTTCTACTTTTACTTAAGGACAAGATCATGTGAGTGCATTCTTATCCCACTTCTGCTTTTGGTATATATTTGGATGTTGATACTTAAGGTTATTCTAAAATATCGAGCATTATGATGAACATGTGAAGTTTTATTTTTGACAACATGTGGGGGCTTCTCTTTACGAGAAACCTGCTAGACAAATATCTAAAGAGCAAAGATTCCTGCCAGACTTATAGTCGGCTGTCAGTATTGGTACATTGAAAACACACCCTTCTGTTATGGTGTCATGTTTCATCTACTCATTGTAACACACAAACAAAAATAAACAACACACATCATATAAAACATGGACATATGAAAATGTCCTCTTCAACTTTCCAACTATTCGCATGTAGATAAGTTACAAAGATATGTTTTACCGCAGTGCAGGCTGGGTATGCAAAACTGAGCCGAAGATCCTCCAATCAGAGAGCGTTAAACCAGGCGGGGGAAATGGGCGGGACTTCCGTTTTCTGAGCCAATCAAACGGTGAGTCACCACGGATCTTCCCTCTCACCAACTGATCATATTTATTGTATATTTAACACATTTTTTGTGGATAATAACGTGAAAATGTTGCTTTTTTTGCTGTTATTACAATTTAAAAGATTTATATTGCAGATATTAAAGCTGAAATCATACTTTTACAACTTATACTTATATAACAACATACATAACATTAATCTGGCTGCTACTTAGAAATTATTTATTTATCTAATATATCATATCACTTGTATATATAGACTCTTATTTCACTATTTCACTTTTTTACTATTTTTCTTTTGTATTACTATTTACTTGCACTATTGTATCAGTTGTATTGTGTTGCACTGTTGGAGGAGCCTGTGACCTAAGATTTTCATCATCATAAACAGTGCAACACAATACAACTGATACAATAGTGCAAGTAAATAGTAATACAAAAGAAAAATAGTNGAGAAAGAATGCTGAGTTGCATCCAAAGAACACCATACCTACTGTGAAACACGGGGTGGAAACATCATGCTTTGGGGCTGTTTTTCTGCAAAGGGACCAGGACGACTGATCTGTGTAAAGGAAAGAATTGACATGGGCCCATGGACGTGAGATTTGAAGTGACAACTCCTTCCATCAGCAGGGCATTGAAGATGGAAAACGTGCTGGTCTCTTCAGCATGACAATGACCCAAACCCACACTTGCCCGGGCAACGAAAGAGTGGCTCCGTTAAGAAGCCATTTCATGGTCCTGCGAGTGGCCTACAGTCTCCAGATCTCAACCCCATAGAAAATTTTCTTTTGGAGGGAGTGAAAGTCCGTGACTTGGGCCCAGCGAAGCCCAAAAACATCACTGCTCTAGAGGAGATCGCATGGAGGAATGGGCCAATACCAGCAACAGTGTGTGAAAACTTGTGAAGACTTACAGAAATCGTTGACCTCTGTCATTGCCAGCAGGGTATATACAAGTATTGAGAATGAACTTTTGTTATTGACAAAATATTATTTTCCCACATAATTTGCAATATACATTCCTTAAAATCAGACAATGTGAATTTCTGGATTTTTTTCTCATTTTGTCTCTCATAGTTTGAGGTATTACTAGGATGAAAATTACAGGCCTCTCATCTTTTTAAGTGGGAGAATTTGCACAATTGGTGGCTGACTAAATACTTTTTTGCCCCACTGTATATAAATAAATATATGTTTAGCATTTTTAATGTAGGTAGATCATTTTGACTTCGTCATTTTAAAAGTAGCTCCCAAGCTGAAAAAGTGTGGGCACCCCTGTACTAAGGTGTCTCTTAATTATGTTTCTAGATTAGGCAACTTGTGTTTTTGACAGAATTATGTACCCAACAAATTTGATATTCAATACATTGTAATGTATTGAATGATTAGCTGGGAGCATGAATCCTTTTAATTCAATATTGCCTTAAAGCATTCCTCCAAATGGTCAAGGATGCTATAGCCAGCGTGCTCACTTGAATGACTTACAGCAACACCTTTGATTTTCATCCTACAACAAGTCAAAACCCTTTCTCAAACTTCTATTCTGAGCTGTGTGAGCTCTTCCTGCTCTCCTGCTAGTGCACTGATCACAGTCTTTCTCTTTTTTCCCATCACTCTTTGCTGAACGTCCTTCATCATGTATTCTCCTCTACCCCTGTAGGCTCTCCCTGCTACTGTGGAGCAACATGGCAGCGGGGAGGTGTTTGAGGAGGGGGAACACGCTCCCAGCAGTCGCTCCTCAGAGAGTGGCTTCACAGACTTCGTGCAGTATCAGGGACATGCCCCCGAAGACACAGAAGGAACCCCTCAGCCCCAACCAGCACTCAGAACGGGCCGTCGCTCCTCAGGCCCGTCTCAGACCAAACCTCTGGACAAACCAGTGATGCAGTGCTGCCTGGAGCACTTCCAGCAGTTCCTATCCCGCCTCATCACCTTGTACATCACCCCTGGTCAGGGGGACCGGGCTGAGGGAAGCGTGGTTGTGCAGTCGGGGCCTGTGGTTTCAAATGTATCCCAGCACAGTGACCATGTGGAGTCCTGCCCAGAATCAGCGTTGGTCCAGAGGGAGTGTGTCGCTGCCTTCACTGCCGCCTGCCAGCTCTTTCTAGAATGCTCCAGTTTCCCTGTCTACATCGCAGAGGGCAACCTCAAGTCTTCACCCACACAGGAAGAGCAGATTGGTAAGGGCAAAAAACACCCTCTTTGATCAAAATTAGAGTTGCCTTTATCATTTTTTAGGTTACTGTACACTGTTGGAGGAGCCATTGAACTAAGATTTTCATCGTCATAACTACACTATAGATATGTACGTATGACTAATAAAAGCCTTGAACCTTGAACCTTATGAACTATTGCCATGGTTTTTTGCCATCTTCCTTACACAATGAAATTAGTGAGTAAAAGACAAATATGTTGCATTTTCTGGGTTTTGTTAACTGTAAAAATGGCTTTCTTTCTAATATATGTACCTTCTGTTTTGAAACTGTATTTGCTCGTTGTTTATCGATTCGAACGATGGATGTACAAAGAGAACTGCGTACAGCATTCGAGGCGGGGCACCGTTCATTCCTATGAAAGTTGCCCGGTGGCCCATGAAGGCAAAATGGCCTGGCAAAAGTACCTGTATTTTGGCCCATAGAGCATGCCCACTAGCGTTTTGCCTGAGCCCAACTCCAATTTCCCGCTCTTGGCTCAGTCAAATGAATGGAGAGGGAAAATACATCTGGATTTGCTTTGAGCACATTTTACAACTTTTAGGCCCAAATCATTTTAATAAGGGCTATAGAAGAGTTTGTAGTTGATTTAGTCCCAAAAAATATCAGCTGATTAATCAATGGGAAAAAGTATTCTTGGGCACAATGACTTCATGGACAGATACAAAGGTTTTAGTATCACCATTTGGCCACTAAGAGAATATGCTTCAACGTCGGGTGCACTTCCTTGGGGCTTGATTTGAACAGTATAAGAGGCAGCCCTAAATCAAGCATACCCAGTTCTAAGTATTGGAGCTTTTAAACAGATTTTTATAGTTTGATTTATTGCATTTAAACCCTTGATGTCCCCTCTTTTTCCACACAGACAGTGAGCAGGTGCGTCCACCAGACTGGCTGCAGACCCTGATGGATGCCTGCTGCCTGGCCGGGGACTTCAGCCTGCAGGGCGTGGCCATCTCCCTGCTCATGGACCTCGTTGGGCTCACCCAGTCTGTAGCCATGGTGACTGCGGAGAGCGTGGCATCCGGTGGCAGCTCGGAGCCCGCCCAGCCCATGAGCCCCAGCCAGGGTCGAGTAGCCGTGGTCATCAGGCCTCCACTCACTCAGGGAATCTTAAAATACATCGCTGATAAAACAGTCTTCTTCAAGGTACAGTCCTCTGTCAATGTCACTATTGGTGGTCTTAATCTTCTTTGATGTTCTTGAACCTGTTTCATCTTTTTTTCCCTCAGAGTGTGGCTCTGATCCTATGGGACCAGCTGAGTGAAGAAACACCTCAGCACCATCAACGCAGCGTGGAACTCTTCTACCAGCTCCACAACCTGGTGCCTTCCTCCAGCATCTGTGAGGACGTCATCAGCCAAAAGCTCATGCACAGAGACAAGGTTCGTTCAGAAAACACTTAACATCCCGGGAAACATAAAACAATATGTAATTTAATCGTTTATTTGAACAGGGACAATGCACATGAATGAACACTTAAGACACATAATGCTTCAAGTGTAAATATGCCAGATTTTTAGCTTTGAACTCATTTCCATCCGAAGTCCAGGTTTGTGGCACAAGCAAACGACCAGTTTGTAAAACAGTATTCAATGTGGGATAGAATCTTACAGTGGAGGTATGACTTGCAGGATCAACAGTTAAGAAGGTTCTGATTTGTTTAACATTTTGCAAGTTGAATTTAATAGTATTGGATACTTTCTTTAATATTTTTCTTAAAAGTCAAGTTCGAGTCCAATATGACTCCAAGATACTTGAAGTGGGGGACTAGTTCTAATTCTGCTCCGTTTAAAAATACGTTGGATCCTTCGATGTTGACTGGTCGTTTACTGAATATCATGGATACTGTTTTTTTTTTACGTTTAACTGTAAGCAAATGTTGTTCAGCCAGTGTTGAACCTTGTCCAAAGCTTTTGAGAGAGTGTTTTTCCCGTGTACAAAGATGACCGTATACATTTGCACATTCAACTCAGGACATACATTAGGCAAGTCATTAATGTACAGAGAAAACAGTAATGGTCCAAGAATGGAATCTTGTGGAACCCCAACAGGGTTCCACAATGTTTCATGGGAGCCTGCCTGCAGGCAGCAGTCTCAGGACACCTGCACTCTGAGGACACCTCCACTCTCAGGACAGGAAGTGCACGCTAAGAATTCCAAAATAAAATCGCCACTATTAGAAATGCACGCAAATACAAAATAAAATTGTATCGTGACACTTATTATTCGCACCTTCAATTATGTTGATGAAGAAGTTCGCTTTGGCCTGTCTTATTGTTTGTGTTACCTTGTTACGAGCATGAGTGAATTTCTCTCTTTCAGTGAATAGCCCGGATTTCAAGCTCTGCTTCAATAGTTGGTCTCTAGATTTCATTAAATTCCTGCACTGTAGATTCAGCCAGGGAAGATGGTGTTCCTTCCTGTCCCTAACTGACCCTCTCCTTGAGAAGGAAGACATTGTATCATTAATTTTAGATATAAACCGATTACTGTTCTCATTCATAACACTCCGTTCGATGTCTCACTATGGGATGCGCCTCATCGCGGAGCAAACAGAAGCATCAATCTCATTACGCCAATCCTGATTGGTTGGTGATCTTGACGTCAGCGTCAGGGAATCCACCCCCTATAAGTAGCTTGCTCTACGTCGCATGCGTCATTCAAACACCCCTTCTCGCTTCAGAGCACATCTCGATAGATCGTAGCCGGGCTAGCTTAACTGTCCACAGACTGAACCCAAAGCTAACTTTCGGTCGACGGGCGCTCGCCGGCTGCTTTTCTGCTTCGCAAG